ACTCTCCAGGTGTGCGCTTCACCCTGTAGATCCACATTTCATCGACTATGTTTGCCCCAAGCGGGGGAACTGCATCGATGTAAGTGCATGTGGATCTGTAGGATGTCATCTCAGCCTCCATGGTCTGTATCCACTAGGCTGCCCAAGGCCCCAACACCACCTCAGCGAAAGAGCGCGGGACAGGGATGTCGAGGGCGTCTGAGTTGCCCTCTTAGGATACAAGCATGGAGTAGAGATGGGGTATAGCGGAAGCAAGGTAGGCCAGCTCATACTGCCTGTTCTCTAGCACGTCATTGCCCAGGGCAGGTGCAATCATGACGGATGGAAAGCTAGAAGTACCAGAGACCAGAGCGGCAGGTAGTCAAGGCGGTGGCTAGCAGCAAAGTCAACAATAGTAGCGACCAGCGTAGGGACAGACTAAGGAGGAGCAATGGGATCAGTAACAAGGGACGCAAGCAATCGCGAGAGGACTGGACGAGCAGTGCGAATAGAGTCAGTGGGAGGGGCAGGGGACGACGAGAGCGACGACTGGGGAAAAACAGTAGGACTGGGACTGTAGGAGCATGCGAACGAAGGACCATAGGGTGGACACTAGGGCGAGGAGAGACAAGACAAGCACCAAAGGGACGACGGACCCAGCAGTGAAAAACAGGTGACTGAGGGCGAAGGTGGAAGGGGGACAAGTTATGGGACGGGGGAGAGCACGGAGGGAAACAAGCCGGAGAGGAGTCCGGGGGAGGAAACAACAGGCCGTACACAGGGTCAAACGAATCGAAGGAGACACGAAGAAGATAAAGGGCAGTTTGCGGCTGCTCCTGCAGCTGCTGCTGCGCCTACTGTTGCGACTGCTTCTGCGGCTGATGATGCGGCTGATGCTGCTCTGTGTCAGCTCTAGGACATCCGGTTGCACCTCGGCTACCACTGGCGCTCTTTGGAACAACACCCCTAGGACTAGTACCCCCAGACGCACCACCCACAGAACCGGCACCCACAAAGTCACCACCCCCAGAACTCGAACCCACAGAACCGGCACCCACAGAGTCACCACCCCCAGAACTCGCACCCCCAGAACCAGCACCCCTGACACCAACTCCTCCAACATCAGCACCCCCAACACCAACACCTCCAACATCAGCACCCCAAGAACCAGCACTCCCAAAACCAGCAGCCCCAGAGCCCTCTGCCCCCTACTGCTGCTTTTGCAGCGGCCGCTGAGTTTGCTACGGCTGCTGCTGATGCAAGGGGGGAGGCGGTGGAGGTGTCTAGGGTACTGAGGTTTGGGGAGGTCCCCAATGGGCCGGACCGAGGTGAACAGAGTGGCATGAGAGACACCAGATGGGGCCGGGCGGGGTGGGAAGGGTGCAACAGGCTGGGCATGGACGGGGAAAAGAGGAGACACAGGAGCATTGAGGTGAGGGTAGCGCCTGTAGTAGGGAAGTGTCTTGTCAAAGATAACGCTACGAGAGCGGTAGATGCGGTGATGTGACGGGTGGTAGAACAGCCAGTCTGGGGCATCAAGCAGAAACCCCAGGAAGATACAAGGAAGGGTGCGGACTAAGAGCTAGTCCGCGCGAGTGTCGTGGATGTGAGTAAGGCCGGCTCAGACGTAAAACGCAGACGCATCACTAGGAGACCCGGTCCAGAGAAGGGTCGGTGAAACCAGCGGCTGCTGAAGCATAGCCACAGGTTAAGCTAGTGAGCAGCGTAACACAAAGCGAACTGCCACAGATAATGGAGTGCACCGGCGTGGACCATAGGCGCAAGCTACCTCCATGATCAGGCCGATTCGTCACTCAGCGACCCCATTCTGCTGTAGGGTGTCCAGTCGTGTGTACGTCTAGCAGATGCTCTCTATACGACGAGCTATCCAAGACGGCCAAAGGCCTCCACAATCAGAGTGTAAGCGAACTACAGGTGGCGGTGGTGGGTGCAAACAACAAAAAGCCATAAGAGGAGAACGGTAGGCATGTCGGCCTCCCACTCCACCGGGAAGACTGTGGTGAACCGCGAGAAGTTGTCAACGACAACTAGGAAGTAGCACTTCCGACTAAGACTATGGAGCGGGGCCGGGCCCCAGACATCCATGTGTAGTGTCTGTAGTGGCGATGTGGTAGGAGGAAAGGAGGAGGAGTGAGGGGCGATGCGCTGCCGGCCCTCGACGCAAGAGGTGCACAGTGGCGCTATCGACGCAGGTAAGGCGGGGAGCTATGCAGGGAGACTAGTGACTAGACCATGCTGGGACATGTGCCTAAGACGCAGGAGTGCCGGGTGACGTATGCGGTGGTGCCATAGAAGGGCCAGTGAGCGATAGGAACAGGACGCGGCGACCTCAGCCAACGCAGTAGCTTGCAGTGACTCAGTGTGCAAGGTGAAGAGACCGGACCTTGGGTCATGCTCAAAAGTGGCTAGGTGGCGACCGGTGGTTGTGTTTGTGCAAGCTGCTTTGCGCTCGCAGCTAGGGAACGTAGCGGTGACGTTTCTGTCCTAGAGGTGACTGACACCCACTAAGTTCTTGGCAAATGAGGGGATGTACAGACCAGTGAGGGAGCCGGAAGGGACAGATGGACAGGGGAGTGTGATGATGTGTATGACAGCTGTGGCAGAGGAGTCTGCTAGTGCGACGCGGACAGGTGTAGGCAGAGGGGTGAGAGCAGTACTGTATCTAAAGAAGCAACGAGATGCGCCAGTGTCTAGGATAAAGGAGAGGCCCAAGTGGTGGGGCCCACCGAAGGATCTCTAACAGAACCTATGCCTAACGCAACAAGGGATCCTAGACTACACACATCAGTGGCTCCTAGGCTACAAACATCATGATAACAGGCTGCGGCAGTAGAATTGTCAGCATACAGAGAGAAGGGGGCATGATTTATCTAAACCATATCCACATCAAAGATCGAAACACCACGATGAAGCAAGGTGAACCAGTGGGGTACTTGCACCAGGGGGTCAAAGTAGTGATGGTAGAGGTCGTCCAGGTGGTAGAAACAATGAGAGGCAGTGTGATCTGCGCGTGTGCAGACCTTGCCTGCTTGCGGGCCTGTCAGCACCTTGTACGTGCAAGTCACTGCGCCTCCAAGACCACCAAATCTCTTGCTCACAAAAGAGCCACTCGACCCCCACGGTACCAACTGCCCAGGGGCCCAACCTCCATGGCCACCACCACGACCACCACCCCCTGGGCCTGCTGGCTGCCACGACAGCTGCGGTTGCTGTTGCTGCTGCGGCTGCTGCTGCAAAGTCCCCGACTCCGATTGTCCACTCTCTTCACCCGCACTTGCACCCCCACCACCCGCTGCTGTCGAACCCCCATGACCCTTGCCCCCCTTGCCCTTGCCCTTGCCCCTCTAGCCCGAGGAAGCTGCCGTGGCGGTCTTAGTGGCTGCCGCGACCAGGGCAGAGGCTCCAGAGACAGGGAGCTGGGGGGTAGAGCAGCTCTGAAAGACGGGGACTTCCACCGTGCCAGCGGTGTCCGCGATGGCATGGAGATGCGATTCAACTGTCGTCAGCGCGGAGGAGAACTCAACAATAGTGAGAAAGGTGTGGGACACAATGAGGAGCACGTCTCGCGCAGGGGCAAGATGGTTAGGAAGGCGGGTGGCAAGGAGGTACAAGGTGATGTAGGTACGCAGGAAGTGGGTGGTGTAGTGCTCCTCAGGGCAAGCTGCACACCAGCGAGTCTTGAGGGAGTGCAGGTGCGCTACTTCAGCAATAGTGGGGAAGGAGACTAGGTCGGGGAACAGAAACGGCAGGACCACATGACCTAGGGTGGCTGAGGACTGGGTAGAGTAGCGAGCGACAACAGCGTCCCAGATACCCTTAGCAGTCTTGAGCATCTCAAAGTGAGTCTGCTCGTCAGGAGGAAGGGCCTTACTAACTACCAGCTGCGCAGCTGCGTCACAGGACTGCCACGCAGAGAAGGTGACTGGGGCAGTATCGAACTCAGTCCGCTGCTCGGATGTTGCGTCAGCAGCAAGAGCAGTAGGACCTGGAGGGGCAGCTAAGGTACCCGAAGTGTTGGCCACAAGGGCCTGGCCGTCTTGGCGGATGAACGTGAGCCGGCGACGGAGAGCGGCGAGCCAGGCCAAGAAGCCCACAGCGTGACCCTCTGCGTCGTCCCTGCGGCAGGCTGGGATGCCATAAAGCAGGTGGCGGGGACGATGACCGCAGCAGACACGGCTGTAGCTACTGCAGCAGCGGGCTGCTAGCAATGGGAGGTGAAGGCCGCAGACAACGGCACCTAGCGGCGGTAGCGAGCGACAGTGGTAGCGGCAATGACTGCAGCAGGAGCAGCGGCAACGGCAGTGAGTGGCAGTGGGCGATAGTAGGCAGTAGGCGGCAGCGGCTGCTGGTGGCTGCTGGCTGGCCGACCAGCGGCGTGTTGGCTGGCGGCTGCGACCAGCGGCTGGTTGCTGGCTGCTGGCTGCTGGCTGCTAGCTGGCGGCTGCTGACTGGTGCTGAATGGCGAGCCAGTGGCAAGCTGGCTGGCGGCAGCGGCTAGCAGCTGCTAGTGGCTGCTGGCTGGCGGCTGCTGGCAGCTACTGGCAGCGAGGTGGGGGCGTGCTGGCGGCTAGCGGCTGACTGGCGGCTGCTGGCTAGCGCCTGCTGACTGCTGCTGGCTAGCAAGGCAGCGGCGAGCTGCCTGGTGGGAGTGGCTAGTAGTTGCTGGCGGCCGCTGGCTAGCGGCTGCTGGAGGCTAGCGGCGGCTTCTGGCAGCAAGCTGGTGGCGTGCTGGCAGCTGGCAGCTGCTGGTGGCTAGAGGTGGCTGCTGGTGGCTGCGGCCGGCGAGCTGGCGGCGTGCTGGCGACTAGCGGCGAGCTGGCAGGCAAGCTGGCGGGGGCTGCTGGCGGCAAGCTGGCTGGTGCTGCTGGTGGCGAGCTGGCTGTCTCTGCTGGTGTTGAGCTGGCCGGCTCTGCTGGTGGCGAGATGGCTGGCTCTCCTGGCGGTGAGCTGGCTGGCTATGCTGGTGGCGAGCTGGTGGGCTATGCTGGCGGCGAGCTGGCTGGATGGCTGCGTATGAAACGAATGGGAACGCTAGTGGGGGAGGAGGGGGGTGGGGGGGGGGGGGTCCTACGAACGAAAATTGCGCGAAGAAGAAGAAGAAGAAGAAGAAGAAGAAGAAGAAGAAGAAGAAGAAGAAGAAGAAGAAGAAGAAGAAGAAGAAGAAGAAGAAGAAGAAGAAGAAGAAGAAGAAGAAGAAGAAGAAGAAGAAGAAGAAGAAGAAGAAGAAGAAGAAGAAGAAGAAGAAGAAGAAGAAGAAGAAGAAGAAGACAAAGAAGAAGAAGAAGAAGAAGAAGAAGAAGAAGAAGAAAAACAATGACAACGGAAGCGTGGTGCTAGGAAGATTTTCTAACCTAGCTCCATACCATGTGAAACTAGTGAGAGAAAAGTTGACTAGAAAGTGGGGAGTAGAAATATAATCAGAGTATTATTCCCTCACAACAAGCATATCTACTCTAACTAGATATGAATATAATGCAATATATATTTGTTGACAGTCACACCCTTCGTATTCTGTTGTAACATTATATGAACCCTGTATGCCTATTGTTTGAATCATCTTCTTAAGCTACATTCATGCTGACAGGGTCATCGACCAATCACAACGCTTCCGTAAAGCACTCTACGTCGAGTGTTCAATCCTGACAATCCCACAACCTTTTTGTGATCACTTCAGCTCGTGCCAAGGCTCCGGCCGCAGGTCAAAGCCGAGGCAGAAGCTCAAGGCGTGAAGGCGCGACTTGAAGGGGTGCACAAAATGCCATTAAATGAAGCAGGTGACGCAGAGGAAGGAAATGAGACTTCCCGGGCATGGTCAGCGCGTACGTTTACAATTCACCTTTATGGTTCAGTGTGGTTCTCTTTGAAGTGGTCCAATGTGGTGAGTGATGCATGAAAGCCACTCCGGACCGCGATGCATCTTACAAAAGCGTGATCCGCTGGTCGCATGGACTCCACGCGGCACTTGCACAGGGGCAGTGTGAACCAACATGGTGCTAGGCTCAGCCTGATCTTGGTGTTTTGTCTTGGATACAAAGCTCGGACCTGTTTTTGAATAGCCTGATCCTGATATCTGTTCGGTAGGAACACGCCTTAAACATACATGCCGGACACGCCCTTACAGAAATTGTGGTACCATGTTTCCATAATTACTTCGGTGCGCACATGATGAGCTCATACACCCTCCTACTGATGGCAACTCCAGCAGCCCTCCCCTTCACGTGCACACCACACAGTAGCCACTTTTATACCTCCCGCTCACCCTCCTGAGCGTGGTATGCGTGGGAGGTACGGGATGGGGGATGAGGAGCAACAAGGGAGAGGACAGACGAGTGTGAGAGAGGCAACACCGACAGCCCTCCCCTTCACATGCACGTTGCATAGTAGCTGCACTTGTGCCTCCCTGTTGCCTTCCTAGCATGGGGGTGAGAGGCAAGGTGGAGCAAGGAGGAGGTGAGTGGGAGGCACGGGATGGGGGGTTGGAGGGAGACGAGAGGGGGGTAGATCAGGATCAAGGTAGCCCCAATAGCCTTCCCCTTCATGTGCACGCCACGTTGCAGCCGGGCATGAGGGTGAGGGGCATAGGATTGAGCTGGAGACATGAGACAAGGGAGAAGGGGAGAGAAGAGAAACCAGGATGAGTGAGTTGGGTGATGATGATTGAGCTGGGTGATGATGAGTGAGTTGGGTGATGATATGATTGAGCTGGGTAATGATGAATGAACAAGGTGATGATGAGTGAGCTGGTTGATGATGAGTTAGCTGGGTGATGATGATTGAGCTGGGTGATGATGAATGAACTTGGTGATGCTGAGTGAGTTGGGTGATGATGAGTGACCTGAGTGAGATATGATTGAGCTGGGTAATGATGAATGAACTGGGTGATGATGAGTGATCTGGGTGATGATAAGTGAGCTGGGTGATGATGAATGAGCTGGGTGATGATGAGTAATCTGGGTGATGATAATTGAGCTGGGTGATGATGAGTGAGCTGGGTGATGCTGAGTGAGCTGGGTGATGATGAGTGAGCTGGGTGATGATGAGTGATCTGGGTGATGATAAGTGAGCTGGGTGATGATGAATGAGCTGGGTGATGATGAGTGAGCTGGGTGATGATGATTGAGCTGGGTGATGATGAGTGAGCTGGGTGATGCTGAGTGAGCTGGGTGATGATGAGTGAGCTGGGTGATGATGAGTGAGCTGGGTGCAGTTGGGAAGAAGAGGACGGAGTGGATGATGTGATGAGTGAGGATCAGAATTGATACGCAGAATTGCACCTCAAGGCATTGACACGCCACTTTTTTTGGAGAGGGGAGGGTGGGAGAGTGGAACCATGAGGTTTCTGTCAGCAAGAATTAGTGAGACAGCAGCAGTTGTAGCTTGCCATATGACCTAGCAAAAACAGCAGAAAAAAGAACAGCAGGGAAGGGGGGCGCACCAGGAGGGCATAGGCGGAGTGGAGAGTGTGCAGGGAGGGGTAGTGGCGCCGGATGGTAGAGGCCATGTCTACTGCCAGGCCTCGCATCTAGTGGCAGGAGAGGGTACGGTGCGGTATGAGGGGGTAGGCTGGGGTATGGATGGGAGGATGGCATTGGCCATGTGTGCAGGGAGGGGTAGCGGTGCAAGATGGCATAGGCCATATCCTCTGTGAGGCTCTGAACCTGGTGGCACGAGGAGTGAGGGGATGTGGGACATGAGGATGCGAGCAAGGGGATGAAATGTAACGGAAGAGCAGATTGGCAAAAGGGACGGTCCTGCAGTATCCTAGCATTGTGACCATTGGCGCATAGTGCCTCCTAGGGTGCGCGATGCATATGGTGTGGTGCACGTCAAAGCCGTCGTGCACTAGCGTCTGGACAGAGCTGGTGGGATGAGAGGGGGGCGAGGGAGACACGGTAGGAGATGAAGGGAAGGGAAGGGAGAGCGAGTGTGAGTGATGCATGCAGTGAGGTGCACATCCAAGCCGTCACGAGTGCTTCTAGAATTCCACTCGCTCGACTCAACTCAAGGATTTAGCTACACGAGTGGGCATGGCTGAGAACAATGGCCTCTACCCCTAATGATTAATGGCTGGAGCTTCTCCTTGCATTGGTTGTGGATTGGACAATGCGAAAAGGTGAAAGAACTACTTTCATCTCTTGAAGCGTGAGAGAGCTCTTGGATTGTATGGGGATACATATGAAATTAGAAAATGGCATGGTAATGTGCAGTCAGTGCACATGCATGAGGACGAGACAACATACGCCATGCACAAGCTCTCAGCGCCGTTGCTGGTGTCCAGATTGCCATCCACTATGTAGATTGGGCAGCGAAGACAGCAGCGCTGGGAGGGAACAGGGAAGGGGAGGGAGAGAAATTGTGAGTGGAAGGGAGGCTTCTAAAGCGAGCTTGCCTTTGACCACGTAAATTGGCCAATGGTCACAATGCAAGGATGGAAGAGTGCAATGAAGGTGACATAAGGCCTGCCCAGGTGTCAGATTGCCTGGTTAATTCATCGAGCAGAATGATAGGGGGCTCGAGGGGGATGGCACCCAAAGTCGTTGGACAGCCAAATGGGACAAGGACCCCTGATCTTCTAGGCAAGTCATGTGATGAAAAGAATCATGCAGACCGAACCTGGGATAACAGAACTAAGGATGAAGCTTAACAATTGAATAGGCCAAGGGATGTAGGCCATAACTTCGAAGGCTGAGGGGTGCAAGCCATGACATAAGTGACACATGCACATTATAACCTCCATGAATCGCTCTCACACGCACACTTACATGCAGACTCATACCCTGCCCCTCCCACCCTCTCCTACCCACAATGTGTGAGTCTGTGCCTCCCACCCACCTTGATGCGCATCGTTTGGTCCTTGAAGCGGTTGGGTTTAGACATCAACAAATCGCGAGGGGAGTGATACTCGCCTTGCTTTGAGCCTTACTTGCCAGTGAGTGACTGAGCCACCCAAAGGGCATCGACCATAGCCAGTGGGGTTACCTGGTTGGGTGGTGGCAGGGAAGCCGGAAGCATGACAAGAACGCAAGACATCATCCAGGCCAAGGAGCATCGCCTACAGGCAGTATGGCCAGGAAGATGTGGCAGTGTTACCACTTGGTGACAATGGCAGAAGAGGTGGAAGACGCAGAGAAGGAGGGAACAGAAATATGTATATAGAGTTGATCCAGAGCTGCTAAACACCTTGGAAATGCTGATTCGGAAGTGTCAACAATGTGATGGCATGTCATGCCATGTAATGTTGGAGGCCTTGTAGCAAGGTACCTGTTCTAGAACAAACATAGAAACGTACTTGTGCTGGAACCCACAAAGCAAGGTACCTGTGTTGGAACCCACAAAGCAAGGTACCTGTGTTGGAACCCACAACGTAAGGTACCTGTGTTGGAACCCACAAAGCCAGGTACCTGTGTTGGAACCCACAAAGCAAGGTACCTGTGTTGGAACTCACAAAGCAAGGTACCTGTGTTGGAACCCACAAAGCAAGGTACCTGTGTTGGAACCCACAAAGCAAGGTACCTGTGTTGGAACCCACAAAGCAACGTACCTGTATTGGAACCCACAAAGCAAGGTACCTGTGTTGGAACCCATAAAGCAAGGTACCTGTGTTGGAACCCACAAACCTAGGTACCTGTGTTGGAACCCACAAAGCAAGGTACCTGTATTGGAACCCACAAAGCCAGGTACCTGTGTTGGAACCCACAAAGCAAGGTACCTGTGTTGGAACCCACAAAGGAAGGTTCCTGTGTTGGAGGCCTTGTATCAAGGTACCTGTTCTGGAACAAACATAGAAAGGTACTTGTGCTGGAACCCACAAGCAAGGTACATATGTTGGAAACCACAAAGCAAGGTACCTGTGTTGGAACCCATAAATCAAGGTACCTGTGTAGGAACCCACAAAGCAAGGTACCTGTGCTGGAACCCACAAAGCAAGGTACTTGTGTTGGAACCCACAAAGCAAGGTTCCTGTGATGTAACCCACAAAGCAAGGTACCTGTGCTAGAACCCACAAAGCAAGGTACCTGTGTTGGAACCGACAAACCAAGGTACCTGTGTTGGAACACACAAACCAAGGTACCTGTGCTGGAACCCACAATGCAAGGTACCTATGCTGGAATCCACAAAGCAAGGTACCTGTGTTGGAACTCACAAAGCAAGGTACCTGTGTTGGAACGCACAAACCAAGGTACCTGTGCTGGAACCCACAAAGCAAGGTACCTGTGTTGGAACCCACAAATCAAGGTACTTGTGCTGGAACCCACAAAGCAAGGTACCTGTGTTGGAACCCACAAAGCAAGGTAACTATGCTGGAACCCACAAAGCAAGGTACTTGTACTGGAACCCACAAGGCAAGGTACCTGTGTTGGAACCTACATAGCAAGGTACCTGTGCCGGAACCTTCTCCACTTTGGTGAGTTTCCCTGCAAGCTGCGGTGCTCTGTGGGATAAAG